GTATCTTCATAATTACAGTACAACATATTTCAAAAAGTTACGTACACAACAAACCTAATACAACAACCATATTTCCATTAATATCACTGTACACGACATCACACCTTTCCTAACTGTTAAGTGAACATAACAAAAATGGTCTATGATGATGCATACAACTATTATAACTTCAAATGTTTTTCTTCATGCTCAATACACATAACAACACTCCACACAACCTCCACCCACCGACAGCACTTAAACATTGCCAGCTATTGGCAAGTGGGCTATTACATCATTGATGCTCTCGTTTAAGATTGATATCATTTGAGGGATCCAGGATGTTCTGCTGCTGGCCGGGATGGTAAAATTGCAATAGATAACTTATGGTTCAATTGTGGAACCATTGATCTGATTGGGGGCGTGTTGGGTGCTGCTTTACATATTTTGGGTGTCCTGATGCCCCCCTAGAATCTCTGGAGTTATGGTAAATAGCAGGCATTAAGTGTAATTAAAATACAGGTCACTGACCCAGCTAGTGTCTCATTTTCCAATACTGCCCTCCCCCACCCTATCAGCCCTCATGAAAATAATGATCAGTATTTTTACTTTATAGGTTGTACATTGAGGCAAGTTCAAGGTATAAAAAGCAAAGCAGATGGATTGTTGGAACAAGTTGAATCTGCAAAAACTCGAGTAGTAGATACATCAAAGCAGTCTAAAAAAGATTTGAATGATCTCAAGAAAAAAATTAATGATTATCTTGAAGAGTATGAAAGAGAAATTGATAAACAAAAAGCTAGTAAAATTGAAGAGTTGGAAAACAAATTAAAGGTTATAAAGCAAAGCTTAGAAAATGTAAGTCAGCTAAAGGAGAATATTGAAAAGGCCGATGAAGAAAATCACCCAGAAGGATGTGCAGCTTTTCAGTCAGATTTAAAAGAGCTGGATCAAACTCTAAATGGAGTTTGGCCACGTTGTGTCGGCTATTTTAGGTGCAACTCCAAAAATGCAGATCATATTTTTAATGAATTAAAATGTATTATGGAAGAACACAAAGCTCTTTATGTAGATTATCGCCCTGTGGATTCCAGATATTGTATACTTAACAGTGAAAAACTTGTCAAGCGTTGTCTTGATGTTGAAGAACAATTTACGTTGAAGGTAGAACTAAGGGATACTTATGGTGATGTGCCAAGAGTGGAACAAGAAGAGGCAACTATCACTGTCAATACCAAAGGTCTTATTAAATTTGAGGACTTCACTATTATTGAACATAAAGTTAAGGATCATATTCATGAGATTACATGCATGTTTGGCTGCCCAGGAGAGTTCGCTATTGAAGTCGAAGTGTTTGGAAAACTAATATCAAAACCATTTAAACTTAAAATCAGTCCAGACAATTACACGTTGACAAATGTTTTCAAGTGTGGACAAACAAAGAGTTCAGCTGCAATATTTGATATAACATTTACAGCTGATGGACAAAATCTACTTGCATGTAATGATACAAACCAGGTTCTTTTATTTGATCTGTCTGGTAATATGAAAGTATATTGCGAGCTTGAAAAAGATAGAAAACTTTTTAACTTATGTTGCATATCAAATGGCACTGTTTACTTGACAGACACTAAATACAAAGAAATAGTTTTTATTAAAAGGGAAGGATTCCGTAAAGGAACCTTTGGTAGGAGCCGTTTTCAAAGGAGCAGTCCTCATGGAATAGCTGCTATTTTGAAAGACAATCAAGCTCATATATTTACATCTAACCTTCAGAACAGCTGCTTAGACTACTTTATTGATGGAAAATTTCAATACAATATTACAAGTCCTGGTAAACTGTGTCCCTGGTTTCTTGCTGTGAATAGTAATTCTCAGTTATTTGTTTGCAACAATGCTGGATATTCTGTAGATATTCTGGACATGAAAGAGCCAATCAATACCAAAGGGAAGAGTCTTGATTATGTGCCAATACATTCTATGCTTTGTGATTCATCTGTATGTGTTGATGAAAACAATAATATTTTTATCGGATATAACTCGGAAATACTAATGTATAAAAATGACTTTACCTTTATTCAAAGATTTAAATGTGAATATAAAAATATATTTGGTCTTGCAGCCTGTTCTGGTAACCTTACTGTTGTACATCGAGGTGAAATCAGACTATTTTCATATTAGATTTTTGGACACACTTTATTGTTTTAATAATGTCCAGGTGTTTTTCTTAGCTGCAATATATAGTTTAAATAAGTTTTTTAAACATTTTTTTTTTTTTGTGTATTTTGCTGTTTGAAGCAGTTATATATGTACTTTATGTGTTTGGACATTTACACTTGTAACTGTCAGTTTTTTACTGCTTACTTAAACACTTTCTTCCATGTTAAGACAATGTCATTAGGAAATTTCTGCATCCTGTTATATCCTACACTGTCTCCAGCTAATGCCAAATAAAAAAATTATTGTGTTGGCCATGCCCGACCGACCCGAAATGTTCGAAATTGAGGGTCAGCATTTAAATTTTTTGTTTTTCTTTTTGACTATAAGAAAAAGTATTATGGGCCCATCTTGAGATGGTAGGCGATGCGACAGCGTTATGCGATCGTATTTAAAATGTTCTTTGTTGTATTTTTGTGTATTTTCTATTTTTTAGGCATAAACTCGTTATTGGCTAAAAAGAGTAAAAAAATAAAAACTTTTCCTACTGACCCACCCATTTTTTGGATTTTCCTAAAACGCAACACAAGAATTTTTTTTTTCTTGGCCTAATGCCAGTTTTAACCTGATACTTATGTTTTTCTCCGCTGTCAGTCCATAGTAACTATATATAGTTATTCTTGAATCTTGCAATTACAATGTAGGTCCCATATCCATTGCCCTGACTCATTGATGATATGGGCTCCAATTTTAAGTTGACTTGGATTCTTCTAGGAAAAACGTTAGGGTTTACATGCTTCATCAAGCCCAGCTGTACTTTGGTTTTGGAAAACCCAAGTTTGCCACCATCTTAATGGTGACTCGAACCTAACCATAACTATAGAAATCTTTAACTGGACTAATTTAAGGGAGATGCCAAGTATTCTCTATAGGGACAGGATATAACTGTAATTAGCAATGACTTTTTTCAAAAGCTAATAATAATATGTTGTACAAGTCTATTGTATAATACAGACAGAACTGTGTATCTTATAATGGGATTTTTTTTTTGTAATACAGTATATTTCTTTTTAAAAATGTATTTATTCTATTTATATAACCTACAGTAAGTGACACTGATGGAAGAAATTAAGAAACAAGATTATTATCTTGTATTAGACATACATTTTATACTTTTAAATATTTTTATATACTAGTTTTATGTTTTATATTGATTAATGAGACTTTTTTTTATACAAATTGTATAGTATATAGTAAAAATACTTAGTCTTGCAATAAAAAATTA